TGTGAATGGAATTGTTATCCTCATTTCTCTCTCTTCTAGTTCATTGTTAGTGTATAGGAATGGCACAGATTTCTGCATATTAATTTTGTATCCTGGAAATTTGCTGAATTCAGATATTAGATCTAGTAGTTTTGGAGTTGTTTCTTTAGGGTTTTTTATGTACAGTATAATGTAATTGGCAAACAGGGACAGTCTGACTGCTTCCTTGCCAATCTGGATGCCTTTTATTTCTTTGTGTCGTCTGATTGCTGTGGCTAGGACCTCCAGTTCTAGTTGAATAGAAGTGGGGAGAGTGGGCATCCTTGTCAGGTTCCCAATCTTTGAAGAAAGGCTTTCAGCTTCTCGCTGTTAAGGATGATGTTTGCTCTGGGTTTGTCATATATGGCCTTTACAATGTTGAGGTACTTCCCCTCTATACCTATTTTGTTGAGGGTTTCTTAGCATAAATGGATGGTGAATTTTGTCAAATGCTTTTTCAGTGTCTATGGAGATGATCGTGGATTTTGTCCTTCTTTTTGCTGATGTGGTGGATGATGTTGATGGATTTTCTAATGTTGTACCATCCTTGCTTCCCTGAGATGAATCCCACTTGACTATGTTGTATGATCCTCGATGTACTTTTGAATTCAGTTTGCTAATATTTTATTGAGTATTTTTGCATCTATGTTCATCAGGGATAGTGGTGTATAATTTTCTTTTTTGGTGGAGTCTTTGCCTGGTTTTGGTATTAGAGTGATGTTGGCTTCATAGAATGAGTTTGGAAGTATTCCCTCCTGTTCTATTTTTTGAAAAACTTTAAGGAGAATGGGCATTATATCTTCTCTGCATGTCTGATAAAATTCAGCAGTGAATCCATCTGGTCCAGGAGTTTTGTTCTTGGTAAGTTTTTTGATTACTGATTCAATTTCTTTGGTGGTAATTGGTTTGTTCAGATTTTGTTCCTTCCTTGGTCAGTCTTAGAAGTTGTATTTTTATGGGAAGTTGTCCATTTCTTCTAGGTTTTCCAGCTTGTCAGCATAAAGACTCTCATAGTATTCTCTAATAATTCTTTGTATTTCTGTGGGATCTGTTGTGATTTTTCCTTTCTCATTTCTGATTCTGTTTATGTGAATAGACTGTTTTTCTTGATAAGTCTGGCTAGGGGTTTATCTATTTTCTTTATTTTCTCAAAGAACCAGCCCTTGCTTTCATTGTTTCTATTTTTTTATTCTTCTTGATTTTATTTATTTCTGTTCTAGTCTTTATTATGTCCCTCCTACTGTCATTGGGCCTCATTTGTTCTCCTTTTTTTCCCATTTTCAATAATTGTGACTTTAGACTATTCATTTGGGATTTTTCTTCTTTCCTAGGGTAGGCCTGTATTGCAATATACTTCTCTCTTACCAGGGCCTTCACTGCATCCCACAGACTTTGCAATGTTGAATTATTTTGTCATTTGTGTCCATACATTGCTTGATACCAGTTTTTCTTTGGTTATTGGTCCATTGGCTATTTAGGAGCATGTTGTGAAGCCTATTTGTGTGATTTTTCATTTTCTTTGTATAATTTATTTCCAGTTTCATACGTTTGTGGTCAGAGAAGCTGGTTGGTACAATTTCAGTATTTTCAATTTACTGAGGCTCTTTTTGTGGCCTAGTTAGTATATGATCTCTCTTGAAAATGTTCCATGTGCACTTGAACATTTTCTGTTCTGTTTCTGCTGTTTTTGGGTGTAGAGTTCTGTAGATGTCTGTTAGGTCCATCTGTTTTAATGTGTTGTTCAGTGCCACTGTCTCCTTATTTATTTTCTGTCTGGTTGATCTATTCTTTGGAATGAGTGACATGTTGCGTTGTAGAATGAATGCACTGCATTTTATTTCCCCTTTTAATTCTGTTAGTATTTCTTTCACATATGTAGGTGCTCCTGTGTTGGGGGCATAGATATTTATAAGTTATATCTTCTTGTTGGATTGACCCCTTTATCATTATATAATGTCCTTCTTTGTTTCTTGTGACGTTGTTTTGAAGTCTATTTTGTCTGATACAAGTACTGCAACTCCTGCTTTTTTCTCCCTATTAGGTGCATGAAATATCTTTCCATCCTTTCACTTTTAGTCTGTGCGTGTCTTTGGGTTTAAAGTGAGTCTTTTGTATGCAGCATGTAGATGGGTCTTATTTTTTTATCCTTTCAGTGACTTTATGTCTTTTGATTGGTGCATTCAGTCCATTTACATTTACAATGATTCTTGATAGGTATGTACTTATCGCCATTGCATGCTTTAGATTTATGCTTACCAAAGGCTCAAGGTTAACTTCCTTACTATCTAAGAGTCTAACTTACCTCACTTAATATGCTATTACAAACACAATCTAAAGGTCATTTTAATCTTCTCCACCTTTTTCTTCCTCCTCCATTCTTTATATATTAGGTATCATATTCTATATTCTTTCTCTATCCTTGATTCACTTTCAGGATAATTTAATTTTCCATTTGCTTAGTAATTAGCTGTTCTACTTTCTTTACTGTGGTTTTATTACCTCTGGTGCCTGCTATTCAACCTTAGGAACACTTCCATCTATAGCAGTCCCTCCAAAATACACTGTAGAGATGGTTTGTGGTAAATTCTCTCAGCTTTTGCTTATGTGGAAATTGTTTAATCCCTCCTTTAAATTTAAATGATAACCTTCCTGGATAAAGTATTCTTGGTTCAATGCCCTTCTGCTTCATTGAATTAAATACATCATGCCACTCCCTTCTGTCCTGTGCAGTTTCTGCTAAGAAGTCAGATGATAGCCTAATGGCGTTCCTCTGTATGTGATCTTATTTCCCTGTCTGCCTGCTTTTAGTAGTCTATCCTTATCGTTGATGTTTTTGCCATTTTAATTATTATATGTCTTGGTGTTGTCTTCCTAGAGACCATTGTGTTGGGAGACCCGTGCATTTCCATAACCTGAGAGACTATCTCCTTCCCCATATTGGGGAAGTTTTCAGCAATTACCTCCTCAAAGACACTTTCTATCCCTTTCTCCCCCTCTTCTTCTGGTATCCCAATAATGCGAATATTGTTTCATTTGGATTGGTCACACAGTTCTCTCAATATTCTTTCAGTCTTAGAGATCCTTTTTTCTCTCTGTGCTTCAGCTTCTTTGCATTCCTCTTCCCTAGTTTCGATTTCATTTATCGTCTCCTCCACCATATCCAACCTTTTAATACCCTCCATTTTGCTCTTCAACAATTGGATCTCCATCTGGAATTCATTCCTGAGTTATTTAATATCTTTGTGTACCTACATAAGCATGTAAATGATTTTTATTTTGAAGTCTCAGGAAGATTCATGAGGTCAATGTCATTTAAATCTCTTCAGGAGTTTTATTAATACTTTTGCTTTGAACCAGGTTCCTTTGGAGTTTCATATTTGTATATGGCACCCTCTAGTGCCCAGAAGCTCTATTCTCTGGGGTTGCTAGGACCCGGAAGCAATGTTGGGTGTTGCAGGGGAGTGCTACTGTTGCCTGGGGGGATGAAAGAGGTGTTTTCTCCTTCCCGTCTACTATGTCTGTCTCAACTTTCTGAACCAGTGGGCCAAGCACACAGATATAAGCCTCTATGCTTTGCATTTGTAGTTGCTGTAGACAGATGTTCCCTCTGGCTGGCCTAATGTCAGAGCAGGGTTTGCTGGTTTGGGAGTCAGGTGGGGCTGGCAGGGATAAAGGCGCAGTAGTCTGCGTATCATGGAGGGGATCCTTGGAGATGTGTAGCCAGTTAGGGAGCTGGAGCAGCTGAAGATCATGGAAGCTCCCATCCTGCTGGGCACAGTGCAGCCAGACAATTTTGTCTACCTGTCCTTTCTCTGGAGCAGTAAGCTCTGTGCAATCCTTAACCCTTTAGCAGCCCTCTTGCTAAGGGCTTCCTTGTTAGGGAGTCTCTCAGACTGACCACCTTTCTTTTGTCCCAGGGCAGCCAAATATGGATCCCTGCCTTCAACAACCAGCTGGAATCTGTCTCCTCAGGAATTCTGCCTGTGTTAGCTTTCCAAGCTCCTAATCACAAGAGTTCCATGCAAGCACCATGAAATGTAGTTTGTGGTCCCAGAGCAGATCTCCAGTGTTAGGTATTCAGCAGTCCCAGGTCTCCACTCCCTTCCTGCTCCATTTCTCTTCCTCCCATTGGTGAGGTGGGGTGGGGGAAGGTCTTGGTTCCCGCTAGGCCACAGCTTTGATACGTTACCCTGTTACCTGAGGTCTGGTCTTTTTTCCAGGTTTATGGAGTCTGGCGCAGTTCTCTTTCCTGTTGCTCTTTCAGGATTAGTTGTATTAATTATATTTTCGTATTATATGCGGTTTTAGAAAGAAGCCTCTGTCTCACCTCTCGTGCCACCATCTTTAATCCTCTAATATACTTTTAAATATATGTTTTGCTGTTATTCTTAAAGATGTCATGAAAATGGCAATACATGTCTCAAACATATTAAAAATTAGAACTTTACTGATTTACATTACTCTGTGAATCTATATAAAGAGTATCACAGTTTACATAACAAGAACTTCCATTAGAGTGAGAAAACATGAATATGAAATATACAAGTGCATGCCACTTATATGTATCAAATTGTTTACTGACAATAAAATACTGTTTTAACATTGTAAAACAATAACCTGTAGAGCAAAATCTTAAAAGTTTAGCATTTAAGCAAGCAGTATGATGACATGTAAAAAATGAATTCAGTTTTATTTAGGGCTGTATTTCTAGGCATTCATGATTCCTAGGTCAAAAATATATAAATATGGATCACTAATTTTAATACTAACATGTTGCAAGTACACACCTCGCACACATGCCTTGCTTGCACGTGCACACACTTGATCATTCTCGTGTTCTGTCTGCACCCTGCACACCTACCTCTCTCTCCCCTTCTTCTCTCCACATATAGACAAGTAATCATATGAATACATAAGTATATAGTAGACACTAAGAAGGGGTTGTGGAATTTGATAAGACACAAAAATCATGAAAAACTTACTTCATCAGCCACCATACACCTGGAAAAAATACAAATAAAAAGAAGTTAATTTCTTAATTATCAAAGTCAATCATTTAAAAATGTATGATTAACTACCTTGCCACAAAATAATTTACAAATATCAGTTTTTTGCTAGACAGAGGTGTTTATAAGTGTACAGTGGAACATGGGCCAGTGCTGCTTTTATAAAGCTCTCCAGCTGCCAACAGCATATGCTTATGTGGGAGAATTAGAGCTTTAATGTTGTTTCACTACCCACCCATGAAGATAACTAAAATGACCCTTCAAAATTGTGAGTGAAATGGCATGTGATTGTACCAAAGACTTCCCTCCTCCCCAATAAACCTTTAAAATTGGTCTTCCTTAGAGATTAGAAAAATGCTGTACTCAAGTACAAGAAAATAAGTGTCAACCACATATTAACATGGTATACATATAATTATAAATGCTAAGACTATTTTCAAGCAGAATTTTGGTTTCTACAATTGTTTCGCTAAATTTTCTCTTTTCCTTTCTTTCTTATTAACCTAGAGAAGAAAATTCTATCCACTGAAAATTGAGAAGAGGGGGCATAAACTGAGGTTCCACATAAAAGAAAAAGCAAAGAGTGAAAAGAAATAGCAATTATGGGCAGAATCGTGAGTGGTTCCTTAGACAGAGTGAGTACATCATAAGGGGAAAAACCATTATCTTAATTGAGGGGATATCCAGGCAACCTAAAAAAATACTGGAATATTATAATCAGAAAGCAATAAAATCTCAACTTCTATTTTTCCTTCCTTTACTTCCAATGGTCTTCACATTGTACAATTTTACAAGGTTTCTTTTAACATAAAACATAAACTAAGAAGTTGGTAATAAATATGTTATTAAGGAATAAGTTACAGGTACAATGGCATTTCATTCTTAAAAAGAAAAAAGATTGCATGATCACTATTTTATGGAAAAATAAAATACAAGTATATTAACTGAAATTCAAAACATGTGGAAGTAAAACATTTATTACATTTTTTTGCAGATAAGCCTATACAAAGTAGAAAACTATAAAAAACTACTTTGAAAAACAGCTATTTCCAGGAAGAGTCATGTATATACCTCCTTTTTCATTTTGTCATCCAACTCAAATTTAGTAAAGATGCCACTTGAAGTGTATATTATTTATTGAATGTGTCTACTCCTTGTTTCAAGTGCTAGCAATATAGCAGTGAATTCTTCCCTCATAGAGGTATATAGAATAAAAAATTCTTCCCTCATAGAGGATGACTGAAAGGAGAAAACAGTAAATAAACACACATGATTCTAATGGTAATAAGTGTTATTAAAAGACTTAAAATAGGGTAAGGTGGAATAGGCAATGTAGAGGAGAACCTATTTAATGGAATGACCAGGAACAATCTGTATAAGGCAATTTGAACAGATTTGAGCAAGACACAAATTCAATGAGGAAGGTAACTATGAGAAAATCTAGAGAAATAGTACTCTCAGCAAAGCGATCAGCAAGTATAAGGGGCCTGAGATAAGATGGTTATAATGTAGTTAAGGAAGAGCAAGGAAGCTAATGTGACAGAAATACAGTGAGTCATAGAAAATGAAGTTGGTAGGCACCGTTGGCCTTAACCATGAAGAGCCATATAAGCAATGGCATGGAGTTTAGGTTTTCTTAGAATTCTTTGGAGGGGAGCAAAATTTTACCTCTTAAAAAGATTACTGTGGCAAAAAAAAAAAAAGATTGCTCTGGCTTATAAAAAATAAATTGTACAGGCCAAGAGCAGAAGATTAGAGAGCAGTCAGGAGACACCTGCATTAAAACAACAAACAACAATGCGTGGATTTGTGGTAGATGTGGAGGTGGTCAGGTTAGGTATATCTTGGAAGTATGATCAATAGGATTTGCTGATTGACTAGGACGTGGATGTAAATTAAGACAGCAAAGTCAAGAATGCAACTTAGGATATTGGCTTAAGCAATTAACTGAAAAATGGTGGTGATGCCAATCACTGAGCTAGGAAAGGCTGGGAGAAGAGTAGGTTTGGGAAAGACAATTAAAAGTTCAGTTTGGACTTGCAACCCTAGTGATAACCATTACATATCCAAGTTGAATTGTTGACTAATATGTGAGTGAAGAGAATGGTAGTGGTGGGAGAAATAATACATTTGAGAGTCATCAGAATATAAATGGTATTGGAATGATTGGCAATCCAGGATATTCTGAAACATGACAACTTGTGGATTGTTCTCCTCCATGCTCAACTCCAAGTTCCTTAACTTTCTGAAGTTAAGCAGATGTTGAGACTCACAGACTACTGGATATGGTTTAATGTTCTAGTTGGGTAACATCAGAGCAAACTGGTATGAAGCTAAATTGCCCTGTGGGTAGGTAACTGACTGAAAAGCAGTATCAGAACCCTAGACAAAAAATGAGAGCTGCAATAGCTCAGCTTTCAGGGATATGAAACCCTCAGTGGTAAGATTACCTTCGATCCCTCTGAATATGCTGGATTTTCCTAACATGAGATAGGTGAGTCTTCCCTACTTTGGAAATTAGGACAGTTCAGGTAGATCAGAAAGCACCACTAAATTTCCTTCAGGTATCTCTAGTAGGGCTGACTGTCCTAAACTGTAGGGACTATACCTATTCCTACCTCTGGTATTCCTGCTATTAAGAATAGTACAGAAATTAGACCTGATTTCCAAAGAGCAATCATAGAAAAAAAACTGTGAGAGGCCCTAATATTTGAAAGAGCAGAAGTGTGAATAAATAGAACACATATACATAGTGAAAGAGAAGTGCTACAAAAGAAAGACAAACACCTACACAAAACTTGTTAGAACATTTAAGTATCTTCTAGTGCAACACACACACACACACACACACACACACACACA